GAGGAAAAAGAAAAGGAACTCTCACCATTTGCCACAGCATGAATGGAACTGGAGAGCAGATAAATACCACATGATCCCACTCATTTGTGGAATTATAAGGAACAACATAAACTGATGAACAAGGACTGATCCAGGACGGAGAGGTATTGATTGGACTGTCGGGCTTAGGAGGGAGGGTAGGGGAGGGTGGGGGTAAGGGGGAAAGAGCAACCATAGGACTTTTATGCAAGCATATAGGCCTAACCAATGGACACGGACAACGGGGGGGTGAGAGCATGAGGGGGGGGTAGGGGGTAACGTGGGGATAAGGACACATATGTAATATCTTAATCAATAAAAAATATATTAAAAAAAGAAACCTAATGAAAAGCTAAAATATTATGATTCAACATGAAGTTTAAAAATTCCAAGGTTAGCATAAAAGATTCATGCAAATTTTTTCACCTATTCATTTCTTGAGTCATTCAATATCATTTCATTAAGTTTAAAATTCACCAAATCAAAGAAGCATCTTGGGTTCTTTGTTAAAGGATGAAAATATGCATACATCTTTGAATCAATAAGATATAATAAATATTTGGGGCAGGGAGAGCTAGAAACTATAGAGAATATTTGAAAAAAGTTAACCTGGCAAATTATTAAATTCCTCCTCACTGGAGATGTTTAAAAATAAGACACTAATATGAAGGTAACTATTTTGAATATATTTGTTATAGTTTAGATTTCCTATAACACAGCAGAAGAAAATTCAAATGATCTAAAAGACTCTTAAAGTTTTACTTTGTAGAACTTAAAAAGAAAACCAACATATACAAATATCAAATGCTGTACAACTGAAACTAACATAATGTTGTATGTTAATTATACCTCAATAAAAAAATAAAATAAATTTTAAAGAAAGAACATATAAGATGGAAAGAAGTGACAAGGGGCAAAACATAAATTAGAGAAATAGCCTACTCTAAAAATAAATACCTTATTACTCTTCAAAATGTTGGTTAGTTTCTTTTATGTCAACTAAAAGAAACTAGTAATGTAGGCTAGCTACATTATAATTAAGGCATACATTGCATTTCCAGTGAAGTTCAGCACTTATTTAACATCTATTAAAGTATCTAACTATGCTAAAGCTAAAAATGGGGCCATGTGGAAAAAAATTCCTCATCAGCAATATCTGTTCATAAGTTGACCTCAATTACATACACTTAAACTATAAAGCCAGAATTCTGTATATACTTGAGTAAACAGAAACATTTTAACCTGTGGTTTTAAACCAGGGTAGCCACATCTGATTTGCCTGGGACAGTCCCATTTTATGCTTGACTGGTCCAATTATAAACAGCACTCCCATTACTTATAAATGTAATAAATATTATGATATCCTAACACTGATACATCAAAAACATAAGTGAGAAACTTAATGATCAACTAGAAATAGGAACAAAATCAGTTCCTTTCTTCATTTCTGATTTTAAGTACTAAATAAGATACATAGACATTTAAAAGTAAATGTCTATGGGTGGAAATATATACAATGACAACTGGACCACATTTATTTATTATGACCCAAGGATATTATAGCAAACCTTAGTACTTGATTCATGCTTTAAGAATGATTTCCATTTATTAAGGAGCTTAAGGTAGGATAATGCCTTCTTAGGGGAACTCCTGATCAAGGACAGTTATTTATAAAGCCCCCAAACACAATCATTAGATTCATGTCCCCATATGAAGTCATGGCACAGCAGTAAATTAACTAAATTAATGATAATAGCTTGAATGGAAATGTATTTTGTGAATAAAACTATAATTTACAGACCTTACCTTTTCCCAATTCCAGCCGCCTGTTCTTCAATGAACACAATTTGAGAAAGAGGAATAGCCATGCAGCATTCCTAGGAGGAAATCAATAGAAAATATGGCTCATAAGACCAGTCAGAAATCCTTGTTTTATAGCACTTAATAGAATGTCAAATACCTTTAAGGTACTTAATAGTAAAAACAATAAATAATCATTATGTTACTTTATTCCTTAAATAAATTTAAGGAATAACTGAATGAAAGCAATGCTATGGTGGCATTTTACTATGTGGAAAAACATAAGATTTTAAAAACAGCTATAACTACCTTTGTTTTCACAGTAGGTACATTTTTAAAACGTAATATTTATATGCAACTTTTTACATATACTATATTCTTTTTTTTAAATATGTTTTTATTGATTCAAGAGAATAAGGGACAGGGATAGAGAGATAGAAACATCAATGAGACAGACACATCACTGATCGGCTGCCTCCTCCATGCCCTCCACCGAGGATGGAGCCCACAACCCAGGCATGTGTCCTGACTGGAAATCAGTGACTCTTGGTTCATGGGTTGATGTTGAATCACTAAGCCACACCAGAGCTAGGCTATAATATGTTCTTATATAGAAAACAAAAAATAAAACAGGTAAATCAAAACAAAGATAAAGAGTGTTATTCATTTTTCTTTATAATTTCCTACTAGAGGCCCGGTGCACAAAATTCTTGCAGAGGGGGGTCCATCAGCCCTGCCTGCACCCTCTCCAATCCAGGACCCCTCCTCAGAGGATGTCTGACTGCCAAGGACATCCCCCTCAACTGGCAGTTGGACATCCTTCTCGCAATCTGGGACCACTGGCTCGTAACTGCTCACCTGCCTGCCTGCCTGATCGCCCCTAACCACTCTGCCTGCCTGCCTGATCGCCCCTAACTACTCTCACTGGCCTGATCACCCCTAACTGCTCCCCCTACCAGCCTGATCGCCCCTAACTGCTCTCGCCTGCCGGCCTCATTGCCCCTAACTGCTCTCCCTTGTCAGCCTGATCACCCCTAACCACCTCTGCCTTGGCCCCTGCCACTGTGGCTTTGCCGGAAGGATGTCCAGAAGGACATCTGGAAGACATCTGGTCTAATTAGCATGTTACCCTTTTATTAGTATAGATAGTTCACTCACCCACCCAAAATTTTAAACAGAAAATAGTAATATAGCTTTCCTTTATTAATAAATTTAATTTTTTAATTATTACAAATGAATGGCATTCAATGGCTGGTTTAAGGATTTCTAAATTTGCCTCTTTATATGATAATCAAAAAATTATACTAAGATTAACTTATAAACATACAGTTTAAAGACACTTATCCCTCCAAAAAATTTTTTTTTCTTGAGTGTATATTTCTTTTAAAAGAGTTAGAAAACATTAATAGTTCTAAGGCATGCATTATCAACAACAGAAATATCACCACTAATGGGACAAAATTGGATCTTGGGAACCAAAAAGAGTCTTATATTTTGCAATGGTTAGTGACCTTTCAAAGAGCCTCAGTATAGTATACAGTTTACCTGTGATATTAAAATTTCATGGAGAGACAGCAATTATAAAAATAATGTAGAAGACATTGTTTATTGTACCGGCAACACTGAAATTTATTCACGAACACTAATACTTTCAAGTTCTTTGGAATAAAGACATCACCTCTACTAGCATACACATAACTTGTTCTCCCTTCCTAGAAATGAAAAAACAGGAGTTTCTCCTCTTGCTGAGTGACTTAGAGGTTGTTTTTCTCAATATCTGGGTAAAAGAATGCACTTCCCAGCAGACCCATCCTCCTGATTCTCAAAAGCAATCAGAAGGCTGGGTTGTTTTGAGGATGAATGAGGCTTGTTAAGGACCCCTAAAAACTGATGGGAGAATTATTCCTGTTACACATGGAACATTCAGGTATGAGGTAGGATCTGACTGGTATTTTAAAAACAGGAGTCATCATGATTCTCTATTCAGTAACTACAGACTTTTCTGGAGCTGAATGAGGGACAACACTATACCCCCTCAATGGGCACTCCATTCAGACAGATCATAGGGGACACACACTCTAATAACATTCTGAAATTAAAAATTTGCTGCATCTATTTATAGTTTGCCAAAAAGGAAGAAAAACTTCAGTGATTTAAAACCTAGAACAGATGTAAAAAACTGTATCTTACATGATTTCTCTGATCTCTCCAAATTAATCGATGTGTACTAAGAAGGAGGGTCCCAGCATCAAATTTTATCTAGAAAGACAAGATCATCACATAATATTAATAACGTATCACTCAATGTGGTCCAGTTGTTCTTCTGCACAAATTATACAATAGTAAGTTTTTCACACATAAATATTTTAGAATTTGGCTTATCACAAATTAAAGAGAAGCAATGCTACACACTTTATAAGCTATATATATAGCCTTGCTAAAATTATGAAAAAGTAGCAAACAACCTTGATGTGCAACAATAGGGAGTGGTTAAATCAAGTATGAAACATTCCTAACATGGACTCTATGCAGAGGTTAAAAAGAATAATGAGGTACAACTTCACAGACTGCCATGGAACTCTTAAGACATAGAGTTAGTGGGTTGAAAAGCAACTTACAGCATATTACACATGATAGATAGATAGATGATAAATAGATAGATAGACAGACAGACACACAGACAAACATAATCTCCACATTCCTCAAACTACAGACATATACATAAAAGTAGTAGGAAAAGGTCTACATGGCATACTTGCTGGTCTATTAACAATGATTATCTCAAAAAAAGTATGAAGGAGTAGGGAGAAGCAAAGGGCCCTTTTTTAAAACTTCACTATTGATTGAATTTTTTTCATGAGACTGGATTCGTGTGTAACACTCATATAATTTTTAGAAATAATTTTTAAATACTAAGAAAATCTAGAAATAGACATAAACACATAAAAAGTAAGTGTGAATAAAGATTCAACCAGTGGCACTGGGACAAGTGAGTTGCCCAGTAGGAAAAAACAATAAACATAAAGTTGGATTTATACCTAACATACTGCACCAAAATAAGTACAGGATGGATCAGATATCTGAGTTTTAAAAAATATATAAAAGCAATACCAAAAAATCATGAGAATTTTAAAAATAATCTCAGAGTGGAGGTCTTTGTAAGAAAAACACTAAACCAATTAGCATTAGAGGAAAAGATCGATAAATTCAACTATACAAACATGTACGCACACAAATTCTTCATGGAAAACCCACCAAGGGCAAAGTTAGCAGACTGAGAAAAATAATTTTAACTCCTATCAGAGACAAAGGGCTAATTTCCTTAAAATATAAAGAACTCTTACAAATCAATGAGAACATTGCCTGTTTCTCTAATGGATTACAGGCTAAGGCTATTAACAGGAAGTCCACAGAAAAGGAACCACAAATAACACATTAATAGGATTTACCTTATTTCATCAATTTTAAATGCACATCCCTTATACACACATTTTAATAAGTATGCATCTTATAATCAATGACATCTTAGAAATTTTCAAATTCAATAAGTACATAAAGATGCCCAACCCCATTGATAAGGAAAAGGCAAATTAAGGCAATATCAAGATACCCCTTTCGTCCATGAGATTGGCAGAGACCCAAAAGTGTCATAAGATTGTGTTGGTGAATTGCTGGGGAAATAAGCATTTGCACACTTAGCTTAGGAGGCTAACCTTTCAGGAGGACAGTGTATTAATATCTATCAAAAGTACAAATACCTATGTAGCACAGCTCTCTAGAATGATGCACTGGTGGCCTCTAATGGGGAATGGGATGCCAAAGAGACAGGGTAGGAGGGAGACTTTTACTTTATACTTGCTGTGGGTTTTTAATTTTTATCATGAAATTTTTGTCATCTACTCAAAACACAAATGTAAAAGTGTTTTTTTTAAATTAGAATACAGAGCTTCTTGTCAAGATGGCAGAGCATGTAAATACCATACTTTTATCTTCTCATAACCACATCAAAATTACAAATAAACTACAGAATAACCATCATTGATATCTTCCTGAAGTCTAGCTGAACAGAAGTCCTAAAGCTAAGGACATACAGAAGAAGCAACATCCAGACTGGTAAGAAAGATAGAGAGGTAGACAATGCTGGTCTCACACCCATGTGTGTTGGCTAAAAATCAGAAGGGATATCTTGGCTGTGAGAGGTGGAGGTCCCCCTGAAGAGCAAGGGGTTCCAGGCCTCCCAGCCCATGGTTCCAGTGCTGGTTAAAGAAGTCCCCCCAACTTCTGTGAAAACCAGCAGGGATTGTGGCTGAGTGGGATGGAGGGCTGCTGGAGTCCCAGGAGGTCCTCTTAAAGGGCCCACACAGACTTACTCACTGACTGACTCGCTCACTCTGAGCTCCAGCACTGGGTGGCAGCTTGAAAGGTGTCAGGACATATGGGGAGGAGGTGAATCATCTGGCTTCAGGGCAAGGGCTAGAGGGGCAGCTTTCTCCTCCCAAAGTGCTGGCAGAAAAGCCACTGTTCCTTTGCTGAGCCCTCCTCCTGTCAGCACAGGAGGGTGCCATATCTGAGACTCCATTAACCTGGCTAACACTGTTTCCCAGGCCTGGTGATTACCTGAGACACCCACCCCACCCAACTTTTAGGCCCACCCAAGCCACTTCCAATGGCTTTTCCATACAACCAACCTCTCTTGGCTCATGCTGCAGACCTTCCTAAAATTTCTCAAAGGTTCAAAAACACTTAACAAGCAGCACCTGGCCTCCCCATGTCACAGACCTCTTGCTAAATAGTCCGAAACCCAGCACCAGTGGCAGCCAGCCTCAACTTGAAGCTTAGCATCTCACAGGCACCTCCAACCTCAGCACAAGTGGCAACCATCTCCAAATCACTTTGTAGCTCGTCAGGTGGTTCCAGGCAGGGCATAGGCAGCAGCTGACCTTGGCCTGCACCTCCTGGGAGGCCCCAGAACAAGTACAACCAGTGGACAGCTTCAGAGCACACCAAAGTACCATCAAATCACCTCCATGAGCGACTCAAGGGGCAGACTCGACCAGCACCAAAGCCGCACTGAAGCAAGTTCTCCATGAAATCAGCCTCTGCACAGCAGTTCCTATGCTATTGTTATGGCCAGTCCTCACAGCTGATCTGCCCGGGGGTCAATCCCTCCCAGTGATGTGTCAAGAGCAATCAAGGCTCAACTACAACAGCAGGGTGCTCAGAGCCCAAACCGGGTGGTGAGAGGGGACTGCGCACCTGGAACACTCAGCTTGAGTGACTGGGAGCCCTGTGCCTCTGGGTCCTACAGGACAACTACTACATAGAGCAGTGATGGCGAACCTATGACATGCGTGTCAGAGGTGACACGCGAACTCATTTTTTTGGTTGATTTTTCTTTGTTAAATGGCATTTAAATATATAAAATAAATATCAAAAATATAAATCGAGAAACCAAGATGGCGGCATAGGTAAACACCTACTAAGGTACAGAGGCGCACACGGAGCGGGCTGGCGGCTGAGGGCGCGGCTGTCGTTTTCAATTGAGAGGGAGTCTCAGGCTCTGAGCTCCAGGTCCGGGCGAGTCTCTGGGGACCCAGACTCATACGGGAAAAGTGGGACTATCTGGCATTGGTCAGAACTAGAGGGCAGCTTTCTCTCGGAGGGGCTTGCAGCGATTACCAGGACACTGAGAAGCAGAGCCTCTGAGGGCTGGACTGAGAGCAGCCATAACTGCTGGCCATGCCCTGTTGATCCCGTGGGACCAGCCCCACCCAAGCCCTGCAGGGAGGAATTTGCTGGATAGCCTAAGGCAGAGGCTATATTAGCACCTCACTAGTGATCGAGGAGCCAGTGTACCCAGAAGTCAGAGTGGGACCATCCAGTTTGCAGCTCTGTGGAACCATAAAGGACACACTCAGGGGGCAGACTCAGTGAGCACCAAAGCCCCATTGAAGCAAGTCTTGCCCCGGAGGGGTGTCTCCAGCACAGAAGTTCTCCCACTGCAGACACAGCTGATTTTCATAGCCAATTGGCCTGGAGGTCAATTCCTCCCAGTGATACCTACAACAATCAAGGCTTAACTATAACAAGACTGTGCACAAAGACCACAAAGGGGTGCACCAAGAGTGTCCCTCCTCAGGTAATCGGGGAGGCTGAACCACTGGGT